CTACCTTTCTATAACATCAAGAAATGGTTAGATATTCTAGTCTTCTCGGATAGGGACGAATAAATGGAGGTCCCGTCTCCTGCAGGGTTGGGGCAGGAGACGTTAATTTCTCACACACGAGATTACTGTGTGATGGATGTCCTCGCCTGGGGTGGGATGGGTGGGTTAGGACAGCAGGTCCACATCAGCTATTACAGCTGCCAATTAATCAACCTGCTTAAACAAATAAATGAACTTCAACTTCAACTTCAAGCTAACTCTTACCACCATTCCATTTATCCATCTCCTTGCCACAATGGAATCTAATCCACAGACTATGAGGTGAAATCCTGCCATTAAGAATGGATGAATAAATGATCTACAGTAGTGCAAACAAGACACAAGTACACAAATCCTTCAGATATGAATGACTGTTACAATAAATTACTTAATATGAATAAATCAAATAATATTTAACATTCTTTACATCTGACCAGCACTTAACACTCAATGTTTCATTTTGCAATTTTCAGTTTTCTATAAATCCTGTTGATTCAACTAACCTCTATAAAAATCTGCATCATGGTCTTGAATCTTTTTAAAATGTCTGTAAAAAAACTTGTCAAAGAAATTAAAGACAGAGCTTATTTTTACCTACAGTGCATTATGCCTGTCGAGAAATCTGAGTCAAAGGTAAAAGATTTTCAGAAATTTCCTAGACTGAGAAGTTTATCTGAAGGCCACCAAAAACTTTCTTAACATGCTCAAAATAGTTAGAGTTGTCCTCTACACCATGGTTTCAGCTAATATTTAATGATTCCCATATACTTTTTTCACTTTGTAAAACATTTCTCTTGATTATAAGAGTTAGCACTGCCAGTAACTGCCTCAATCCAATATTTCCTTGAGTAAGCCCAAAGGAACCTATTTCAAATTTGGACAGAAAGAAGGGGCGCAAAGCAGAAGGAATGCACTTAATTGAGAAGTACGTCTGTTCTATTTAAGAATTATTGACCTGTACTGATTCCCTTGTAGTTGAAGTGTAAAAGTTCAAATAAAGTGACAACAGAAACAAGTTACGGCAAGAAACAAGTAGCAAGTTATGAATTCAAAGGATACGGAGTAACATTGCAGCCTGCCACTCTACTGTTGATAAACTCTGCAGCTACAATAGCTTTGGGTTTTCCTATATCTTTTGGTCTTAAATAAAGAAAAGACAGAACATCACGTGTCAGAAACATTGTGCCCTTACAAGAAACAACATGCACTAAAAATGTTTATCTGATGAGGGCATATTTGATCCACATTGACCAATCAGAGTTCTTTGTTTCCTCAGCTTAGCCACCAGGTAAAGTTTACTCAAATGGAGTAAACTTCACCATCAGTGGTTTGCAAAAGAGAGCAATTGTATGTACAGCTGCATGAGTAAAACATGATAATATTCATTCAATCACCCCTTCTTTGAATTGAACTATAGCATTTTGAGGTAAAATGAGGCATGAAAATGATCAGTGTACAATTAGGATTTATGCAAAACATAAATTTCAGAACATAAGTCACCTAGGTAAGGATTTGAAAAAAGAATTCAAAACAGCTGCATTTAATTTTTGTAGAAAGTTTAGAAACTCCCAAAGAAAACTAATAATACTCCATTAAAAAAGGTTACCTGAACAAAAACTGTCTATTTAGGTTTGAAACATCTATTGTGTCCATATCAATAACATCTATGTTCCTAAATCCACACAACGCCTGCCAAGAAAAGACGTCAACCATTACTTCAAACTTGTTTTAACCTTGAAGTCCCCAGATCCAATAATTACTTCTCCCCACTGGCTGCTATGCTGTTGCTTGATAATTAAACAGAGGAATTAAGTTTTAGATCAACAAAACATCCTCTAGCTGATAAGCTTGTTGTCTCATAATCTGTTTGCAAGATAACATATTGGAATGGGATGGAGACATTACAAGTTAATCACTCACAGAGAGGAGGGGAGGTTTAAAAGGTTATGCAATAATTAAATAATAAGCATTTTTAGTATAATTTCGGAGCTGAGCAAAGAGTTTCCAGCAATCTGATTGGTAGAGCGGTTTCTTATATGACTCTACATAAACCGCTCCACGTGGTTTCTATAACATGTTAAAATAAAAAGTTAATAAATGTTACTAAAATGTTATGATTTTAGAAATTTCTCTGTTGTTCAGCTCTGAAATTATACTAAAACAATTATTCGCCTCACATTCAGTAAATATTGTCGAATAATCCCCTCAACTTGGTCTCGGGGATTATTCGACAATATTCACCTCGCCTTTGGCGAACAATTGTTAAATATAAGAAACTAAATAAGCACTCACCCAAATAACAAAATAGCATAGTATGAAAATTATCACTCCAGGGTGCAGTTGTATAAAAAGAGGATAATGCTATCCAATGGATAAATGGCTATCCAGCTGATGAGTGATAGCAAAATGTACTACGCTATCCACTGGAGAGAGATTTATCTAAAGGATAGCATTGTCCAATCCTTGAACAACCAGGGCCAGTCCTCTACAAAAAATTATTTGAGGCCTTTGACTCAAAAAAGTTGGTAATCCAAGAAATATAAAAAAGCAACAAGACATGCCCTTCTTTGTAAAGTCAATACTCACTAGATCTTTCAGTAATTCACAGCCTAATCCTCCTGCTCCAATAACCAGAATTTTAGCAGTATCAAGCATAAATTCAAGAACCTAGGAAAGAAAAGGTGAGACAGACTTAATTTTTTAATATCTTTCATTTATTCTCACTCTATTCGCAGTACAAAAACATGGTCTATTCAATGCACGATGGAAATGATGCACATCATATACAACCTTTAAAGTATAAAATATCCTTCTAATTGTGGCAAGTGCGTCCATCTAACTGCTGCCCATGTTTCTGTTTTTAAATGAATAGAATCTTGCCCAAATATCCTTTCAAAAAATAGTGCAAGAAATGCTGCTAACTGTTGCACTGAGTTTGACAATTTTTCTTTCCTTTCATGAAGACACAAAAACACTTCTAATACCAATGTATCATGAAGGGTTTAAAAGCATCTGCAGAGTACCTTATAAATTCAATTTAACTCAGATTGCCATGATTCTGAAGAAGAAACTTCAATCACGTGCTTGTGGGGAAATAAGGGGAAAAGAACCTCCACCTTTTTTCTGTCCTTCTTCCTTCTCTCTTTAATTTGTTAGTTTCATCCCCTTCTTCCCTTTCCCTCCCCTCAAACTGAATTTGATCTCATTAATCATTATATAAAAAAAAATAATAGGTATTATTAAAAACTAGATCATTGGATAACGCAAGACTTTTCACTGGCTTAGCTATTATGGTATATGAGCCAATAAACCATAATCTACAAATATGGTAAGCGTATGCATCAGCTGAAAATTAAAAGGGAGCAAAAAAATTGAATAAAATTGAATAATTCAATTTAGTGTTTTTAATAAAACAATTATTCCACTCACGCTTGTTGGATATGAGATGATTATAGCAAACTCCGCGCTATACGCCTCATTGGCTATCCATCATCTCATATCCAATGCGTGCTTGTGGAACAAAAAGTAGGGGGTACAGTATTACATTGTCAAAGTGGTCCACTGAGCTGGTATACCTGTGGTCCAGGTTCAAAGTCTTGATGAGCCAAAGGCCCACTCCTTAACAAGAGTCGCTGAACATGACTCCATCTGCCTGACCAGTCACCTTTATTTTCTACCACCATTCTGAAGATATACATTCACATTACTTCTCAGAGCAAGAGAAAAGTCTTGCAGAGAATTTGTTTTAACTGTCTTTAACCCTTTAACTGCCAGGATCTGATTGGTAGTTCGTGCCTCTAGCTGCTACACATTTTCTTGTAAATTAGTTACAAGAATTTGGTGTTAGATCAAGAAAATAACTTTGTGTATTCTCAATACCTTATTGCATTTTTAAATATCTATCTCTAAAACTTTTTTAGTTATTCCCCAAAGTTACTTGTACGTCTCACTGAACACGGTTCAAAGCCAAGAGATGAAAAAAAAAATTGATGCATAATAATTGCAGTGTCTTAATTATTTGGAGTTACCAAATAATGGTTAATAGTTTGTCACACTTTGCCCATAAAATCCCTCACTCCCTTGCTGTTTACATGGGTAATTATCCAGCCAAGATAACAATGGATGTTTTTTTAATGATTGCCATCATATCCTCCATCTGTGATATTGTTGGAAAACCTATACATTTTTAAAATAACTCAGGCTTGTGACGGATTTCTACGTTGCACATTTTGAAAATAAAAGATATTCTTTCTGTTTCATACCACACAATCTTTGGGCTGCGCGATTCCAGTGACACAACTAGGGTTCCATGTAAGCATAAATCGAAACGATGGCACATCTTAATGGCTAGCAACAGTTACACAAAACACAAACCTAGTATTCGTAAAAATAAGTTTACAATAAGGCTACATACGGAGTTTCCGAAGAATTCTCCTCTACCTCCATTATGCCCAGCTGCAACCAGCGGCCAACAAGGCAGCCGCGCCTCGTTAACAAGAAATTGAGTGACCGAGCCTTCGAGACACAACCATGGATGACGTCTGGAGCTAAAAAGTTACTTATTTCATTTCCCCTTCCCATGGAGGAAAAGATTATCCAATAGAAGACAAGGCCGTCAGCTACGAAAATAACTCTGCAGAATTAGCACTCTATTTGATTTATATTGGAGAACTCTGCTGTGTTTATAACTCTGACACATTCATCGAGCTTTAAAGAAGACGGCAGAAGCGAAAATAAGGTAGCAGAGCATGGCTTTTTCTAATCTGCAATCGATGTTCAAGTTAGCTCAGAGGCCTACACATATAATCAGTGACAGACGAGGCCAAGAATTTGAGCTCAAGTCAGACGCAAAAGATGCCTTGTTGATCGTAAAGAACTGCACAGATTGCCATGCAAGTTTACAAGAAAAAGCTGCCAAGTTACTCATCGAGAAATGTGACAACTTGGTGCTAGACGTTAAATGCACGCTGATATCTGGTGTACTGGAACTTCTGAACTGCAAGAAAATAGTGCTAAATTTACTTGAAGGTGGTCAGGTTAGGAATACTTTTAAATCCGGTGAACAAGTCTTGTTTTTTTAGAACCACTTCACTTCCAGGGGTGACCAAATAGGAACTTCTCCAAAACATAACGATACATTTTTGGGCAGAGTGGTGATGGGAGGAAAGAAAAATATCAGTCTGGCAGGACTGCTCAGGAACCACTTAATTCTCAATGTTAAAATTGTAAGAAATGTGTGGTAGACAGTGAGAAGTCTTATGAGCTCGAGCAGAAAGGTTAACTTCCAATCAGTAAAGTTTCAAATTCGAGAGAAATTTTGGAGGTATGTGGTAATGTATGGTAAGCAAGGTGAAGGTGTCATAAACGTTGCACCTCTCTCCCTGGGATGTTTACAGGTTTCTGTATGATAAATCTTGAACTGCAAAAGTTGGAGTCAGCCCAAAAATAATTATACTATAAAATTAAATGTTAGAGTCAAATGACAAGCTCAGCATCTGAATCAAGAGTCACTTCTGTCAAGGTATCCATCCATAACAAGTTATCAAACATTTATTTTCACTTAGAAAATTTGAATGCAAGACTAGAAAAGTTACCTCTAATTGTCTTGAGCTGCAAACATTTTCTCAGTAAAGCATAAAGGATCCCCAACTCCAAAGTTAAACAAAACTCACCCAAAATTTTCAAGCTACTCAAGTTAGTAATTTAAAATCTAAATCTTTTGTTTCCAACAGATTCCAACCATCATGGCTGACAGTACATCAGATCTGTTGATCACTCTGCTGAGGCATTCCCAGTTTGAATCTATGTATCTTCATGGACATTCAAGTAATATTGAGGTCTGCGTAGGTGAAGAAACCTCAACAAAATATCCAGTGTCTTTTCCATCTGATGTCCCATCACACTTTCAGTTTGTTGTATCTTGGGAGAAAGAAGAGGAAGGTTGGAAGCTTGTTTGTGAAAAGGTTGTTAGGGATGGTGTGTTCCCAACTACAGAGCGTAAAGTGAAGGAAGCTGAAGAAAGAAAAGCTAGAGACTTAGAGAAAATGGTAACAGCTCTTTTTGATAGTATCAAGATTACCCCAAAAGAACAACAGAAAGACAAACCAAGTCCAGGTTCTGCAGCTGAGACTGAAAGTAAATAAATTTTTATCAGGATCTAAGTAAGCCCCTATTATCAGCCATGGCAGGTTTGCCTTGTTGGTCAGTCTTTTTTTATGCACACAAATGCTCATCAATTGGTTTGTTTTTTTCATTCGTGATAAACATTATGAGATATCCCGAAATAAATGCTACTCAAGAAGAATCTCCTGTCTAAATCTTGTAAACTTTAAACCAAAATAGAGCATTTCAAGGAATCATTGTATGCAAGGGTATGTACATGTAAAATGAGGACTATTTTAAAAATTTTTTGAGTGAATGTTAAAATTCTTACATTTCTCTCACTACTCTTTGCAAAGTTGTTTCTGTGTGATTTTCAAGACCTCCTTGGTAAGGTTCATAAGTAAGACTCCAAGGGCAGAGGTGCTTACTTAAGATACTATTTCAGTCCAAGAGTGACTAATTAGAGGAATTTTTCCTCACAATATCAAATAAATTTTCAATTAAAAAGGTGATAAGGATAAAGGAAAACATATAAAAGAGGGGATATTGTTTGGTTTGAAACCAAATTCTCCAAGCTACAATTGTGTAAAATGGGTGGTAGCTGGTTTAGAGAAGTGATATTTAGGTGTGGGAGTGAACAGAAGCCAACCTGTTACCTCAATTCCTGGAACTACCATCACAACAAGAGAAAAATATAGTTACACTTGGGAGTTACCTTGATTCATTATGCGTAGATTACTAACTTCCTCAGAAGCAGTTTAGATGTAGGGCAGAGAAGGTCAATGGGTAGTGCTTATGGGGAGCGTACTGAAATTCTCTTAACATAAAAGTGATATTGATTATAGCCCTGTTAATTAGTGACCTTCCTTTCTGTGTTGAATATACTTATGTTCCACCCATGACACTGTGAGTGGCATTCTTGCTTGGATATCATTCCTGCATCCATTTCAAATTTTTCTTTCAGCTGGCAACTGAATAAGAACTTGTTAATCATGCAACATTTCCCTATGAAATCAATACATAATTTGGACACAACTAATTGAGAAGAGACTAAATCATTGGATTGAAGTTGTGCTTTTGAATTTAATCAACACATTCTCCTGGCTATTTTACCTGAAAAGTACACACCAGGGCCAGGTTTTTCAAAGGTGAGTTAAGATAACCCAGGGTTACCGTAATTGCAGATCTGAAAGCTTTAAAATCAAATCACTTTAATTTCATTTGTTTACAATTTGGTGATTGAATGCTCTAAGAAGAATTGGGAAAATTATCTTAAAATGGCTTTTGAACAGAGAAATATAAAAACTTGGATTAAAATTTAACCCTGGGTTAGTGCTGATCGGTCTTCGAACAACTGGGCCCAGGTCTATAATCAAAGTAACAGTGACACCGATTTCCTTATCCCATGTGTTCTTGAAAAATTGCATCTTTTTTTTCAGTGAATTGGTCAACTGGTAAATGCCTTAACTATAGATATCTTTAAACCCACAGAAAAACCAAGCCCAAGTGGTAGTGGCCATCATAACATTAAGAATGAGGATGACAAGAAAGAGTTCTTTGACTCCTCAGAAGAGCTGGAGCAAAAGATTGATCTTCTTGCAAAATGGGTCAAGGAGAGTAAACACTGTGTTATGTTCACTGGTGCAGGAATCAGCACAAGCACAGGTATCCCAGATTTTCGAAGTGGCATGAACACTGTGCTGAAGACAGGCCCTGGTTTATGGGAGTTACAAGCTAAAGGCGTCACTCGCCAGCCAGGTAAAGTTACTCCCATGTTAAAGGCAATACCCTCGCCTTCCCACATGGCCATCGTGAAACTCCACAAGGAAGGGTTGGTAAAGTTCACTGTCAGCCAAAATGTTGATGGTCTCCACTTGCGCAGTGGTATTCCCAGTGAGGAGCTTGCTGAACTTCATGGAAATACCAACTTAGAAAAGTGCACTACCTGTGGTGCTAAATATTTGAGAGATTTTGACACAAGAACTGCAACAAGAGTTCATGACCACTTGACTGGAAGGTCCTGTGATAACATCAAGTGCTGTGGACCTTTAGTGGACTCCATTATAAACTTTGGCGAGAGTCTGCCCGATGATGACCTGATGAAGTCATACCAAGAAGCTGAAAAGTCAGACTTGATGATTGCACTTGGATCCAGTCTTCAGGTTTATCCAGCTGCAGACATTCCAGCCACTGTCATCCGCAGCAAACAGAAACTGGTGATCTGCAATTTGCAGAAGACCCCACTCAGTTCACTGAGTTCGCTTCACATACACAGTCAGATAGATACAGTAATGAGAGGGCTTATGGAGAGGCTTGGCTTGGAGATTCCACCCTTCAGAGTTCAGCGTCGCTTTGCAGTTGAGACAAGTCAGGATAAAATGTTGATTGAAGGCCTTGACCTTCAAAGCAACACTCCATATTCTTTCTTAAAACAGGTATCTGTGCATATGTCACAGGAGGTTGAAGGTACAAAGAAAGTTATTGATGAAAAAATTCTCTCTAAGGAGCCTCTGGAAATGTGTTTCAGGGGAAGCTTAATAAGTATCTCACAAGCTACTCCATTGATTGCAGAGATAGAGTTGGGTTTCCAGGGTCACTATGGTGAACCAAGCTTGTCCTTTACCAATTCTATTAGTAGCTTTGGAAAGGCCTTCTTTCATGCAGAGTATGATTTAAATAAAGGGGAGTGGTCGCTGAAAAAAGAATGAAAACGCATGAAAACACTGATAGACTTGATTCATTGTACTTCTACTTATGTTTTAAGATTTTTGTTCTGCTAACCTGTAGAATTTCATGACTATTTAAGAGAACATTTATTAATGGATGTGATATGTTATTGAATAACATGCAAGGGTGTTGGAAAGTCTGCAGATTCTTTTATGAATAATTATTCTGTGTAAAAAAGCTTTATTACCATGTTAGGTAAGAGCATTCATCTTTTTTTTTCCTCTTGAAGAAGAGGCTTGCTCAGTGATAACAGCTACAATCATTGTTGGTCCCAAGGACAATACTATGTCTACAGAACTAAACTATATTGTTGTAAGTGTATCAGGTTACAAGTCCTAAAGCTCCCTGACAGCTTTTAAAGCTCTGATAACTTTTTTATTGTAATAAAAACAATAGATGTTAGTGAGCATATTGCCATATTTGTATTAAAAATCTTGGTATTTTAGACATTTGCCTTTGGCCGTGATTATCAGCAATGGGAATTGGGGCAAAAGCGTATTTTATATTTTATAATAGCCAAGTGTAACACATCCCCCATTAATACTTTACCCTCCCTCCACCACAGACAGACCGATTGTCCCTCCAGTGACTTTAACACAATCTCAGGTTTGCAAATTATTCTTATCTTCAGTGAAAGGTTGTCTTTTACTACTCAATTCAAACTCTCGGAAAGCAACCCTCATAAAATCAGCTAACGTGGGTGCACGTGGCCCATAGGAACATACATGACTGTCAGTCAAAACCTAGCAATGTATGAACTTATTTAGCGCTTCGTATGTAGCACAACTTACTGTGCAAAGTAATGCAAAACTGGAAGAGAGAGGCACAGCTATCCTCGCCCATCTATCTTGCCATGGGTTCCAAAGGATGAGATTTTCCAGAAATCAAAAAACCAAAAGATTGTTTGAAAGCTTAAGAAGTCATTAAAAACTCAATTTTAGCAATTGTTTTCATCAATTGTTTTTGACCTACATTTGTTTTCTTCTGTTTTGTTTCCTTTTTTCCAATTTGGTAGAGAAAACGTTAACCCAAAAATCTTGTTTGATTACTATAATGTGATGTAGATTAACACTTATTGACCTTTTCCCCTAATTGTTTTCTCTTACTGTTTTTCACTGTTGAAAGAGGCTAGTACCCAGTCTTCTCCTTCCGGCTTAGATTGGATAAGCTGTGAAACTCCTTGCTAATTTATTTATATCAGCACTATTTAAAGTCGTAGCATAGAAACACAACTTGAACCTGCGGAACCCTTTTCAAAGAAGGACGAGATCATCATTAAGTAGGTTATGATTTTATTTACATCATTTATATCTTAAAAATCGAACAAATTTCGAGATCAGTAACTCCTAATTCCAATGTGTGTGGGATAGCCCACGAAACTTCAGATTTATTTTTGTTGGTTTCTGGTCTCCATCGTTACAACTTTTATAATGCAGGACTAACTTACTTTCATGTAGATCCCAAGCACACATGAAGGCTTTCTCAAGAAATTACAGCTGAAACATTTTTCCGGTGATATTTGCCAGGATCGAAGGGTTTAATTTTGCCGCGGAAAAATCTGGTGGCTTCGAATAGTAGTAGTAGTAGTAGTAGAAGTAGTAGAAACTTTATTAGAGTGTCGAAAAAAAACCGTCTAGCCAGGGAACAAATCCCCTACTAATTTGGGGACACCAATTAGGGGAGAATATACAAACTAAATACAGTAGTAGATAAAATATCTATAGTTAACTTATTAAGAGATTTATAGTAAAAATACACAGAAGTCAAAATGAACAAAGGCTACAGCCTGCGCAGCCATCATCTAAAAGTTCACTTATATTGAGTTGGCGTATCTTGCTTTTAAACGACGTTAGGGTTGTGACGTCCCTGATACTCTTGGGTAGTTTTGTCCATAGCTTAGGCCCTAAATATCTAATAGAGTGCTTGCCATAGGTGACTGTCTCATACCTAGGTATAGAGAAATCTGCTTGCCGCAGATTGTAATTACTATTTGGTTCTTTAAAGATGTTACTTATATATGCAGGGCACAGTTTATGCCTTGCTTTATACATAAGTATGCACAGATCCTGTAAGCGACTATTTAGTAGTGTTGGCAGATCTGCCTTCATACCCGGTCTCGAATGTTAGATCGTGGTAAATCAACGTTTATATTAGAGAATATAAACAATACTGTGACACAAATATCTAAGTTTAATCGAAACCGTAATTAAATATTCGCTGTGTAGTGTAATTTGTAAAAACTAGCTACTGGGCGTTGAATTTTGTCATGCTTTTCGCTTTCTTCCTTTTTCTCAATTTCGGTTAAGTCCGGTTCTATACGGAAATATATATATTTCAATATTTCAAGTATTTTTTTTTCCAATTTTTCATTCGTATATTTTTTTCTAAATGAGAAACAGATGAAATTCCACCGCTGGCCGGGAGCTTCGCAGATAACACGAAATTGGCGCGAAGACTTGTCCGGTGTCTTAGGGCAAAGGGGACAGAGGTGGGGAGGTATTGGCGAGAGGCAATCAATATATTACTCAATTATATTTATTTAATGTGAGTAGTTAGATATTGTGCACAGAGACTGAGTTCAATGTTAAAATTTATCAATTAACTTTAAACCTGTTTTGTCAGACAGAGTATGAAATTGTACTTTTCCATAGAAGTTGCCTAAACTGTTACAAAGAAAGTAGTAGCTAGCAATCACTTGAACCCTATGCACTGTGATTATTAGTTGGGTGAGATGGACGAAAAGTTTGTTGAAATTGTTTTGGTGGTTAAATAGGGGTGTGATCACCGGCAATCTTCCCCATTACCCAAATCTCGAGATCCCTGGTTCACCAATGGTGAAACTTCAAAGACCATGCACCAAAAGAAGTCAAATGGTACATTACCGCTGGAAACAGAACCAGTTGTGTGAGACAACAACAAAATTTTAACTTTAAAACTTAGTTGTTAAACTTCTGGCAGCACACACAACTGAAAATCATGGTAAAAGTCAGCTCTTTATTTTTTTTTTTCTGTTGGTGATTTTTTATTCAGTTAAACTTTTTATCATCAGCTCTGTCAACATGGCAGTAAATTTCACACCCAAAAAATCAAATTTGAAGGCGTCTGGATCGTCCATGGAAGCAATGTTTGCCAAAGCTCAGAAAACCCAAGCTGCTCTTCAAAAAGACTACAAGAATGCCCCAACAACCTCGCCTAGCAAAGCTGGTTCAAAAGCTCCCAAACCAAGACAAGGGAAGGCTTCAGGCTCAAAACCATCTCATGGTCCTGCTGCTTCCAAACCAAAACCAAGATCAAATGCAATTTCAAGTGAGTTTGAGAAGAAGGAGTATTTTGATGAAGAAGATTTGCTGTCAGAAAAGATCCAGGTTCTGGCTCAGTGGATCCGTGAAAGTAGATACTGTATTGTTTTTACAGGCGCTGGTATTAGCACAAGTACTGGTATTCCTGATTTTAGGAGTGGTGTGAACACAGTCCTCACCACTGGCCCAGGGGTGTGGGAGCGCAAGGCTCATGGCATCAAGTTACCCTCACAGCAAAAAAAAGTACAAAGTGTATTGAAGGCTGTGCCATCACCATCACATATGGCAATAGTTAAGCTTGTGAGGGAAGGCCTAGTGAAGTTTGTGGTGAGCCAAAATACTGATGGCCTGCACAGGCGATCAGGCCTCAATCCCAGGTGCCTTGCTGAGCTGCATGGTAATACAAATATGGAACACTGTCTAAAGTGTGGGTCAAAGTTCATGCGTGACTTTAGAACCCGTACAGCCAAAACTGTACATGACCACTTGACAGGCCGTACCTGTGATGACCCCAATTGCCACGGGCCTCTTGCTGACTCCATAATAAACTTTAATGAAGACCTACCAGAGGATGAACTAGACAGTGCATTTGAAAATGCAAAACTTTCAGATCTATGCATAGTTTTGGGGTCAAGCCTTAGGGTTTACCCAGCTGCTGACATACCAGGGGACATGATCAAAAGAGGAGCTAAAGTGGTCATTGTGAACCTTCAGAAGACACCTTTCAACAAAAGATGTGCTTTGGAAGTTCACTCTACAATTGATGTTGTTTTACTCAAACTTTTGAAAGAATTAGGCCTTGAAGTGCCACAGTTTCAGCTTAAACGATGCTTCCAAGTGGATGTCAGGAATGACTCACTGGTGATTCAAGGACTGGATCCAGCCACAAAAAAACCCTACTCATTTTTGAAACAAGTGAAATTTGAGATTCCTTCTCTTAGGATAGATAAAAAAGTGATGAGGGAGCCCTTTGAAGTCAAGTTCCCCAGGAGAGTAGTTCTGTCCAAGGAGAATCCAATGCCCATAAGTCTTACTCTGAGCTTTCAGGGGCATTATGGGGAACCTCACTTGAAAATTGGAAAGAACATGGAAGAAGTTGGACTGATTGTCTTCTTGCTTACTTTTGATGTCACCACAGTTGAGTGGGAAACTGAGGTCTTGGAGTAATAATGAAACTTGTTCAATTATGGCAACTGAAGGCTGAACATAAATGTTATTAATATGTTGAGTATTGATAAAGCCATGAATTGTGTCTTTCTATCAATTTACATTGCATTTTAAAGTGTATTACATTTTAAGTAAATGTAATGCTAAAAATATGTTTCATCTTTCTAATTTTCCACAATAGACAGGGTTTTAAAATGTTTTAAAGAGGGCATCAGACTCTGCTAAAGTAGGTGACTGTGAAAAGCTCACCAAGGGTCAAAAGGTAATTTTGACCAATGTAACCAGCAACATGTTCTCAAGTAGCTGGTGGAACTCTGGCAGTCACCTGCTGGTTTGAGTCTCAAGCCTGCAAAGTTTCTGTTGTGCCACAAGGGCTAATGAGAACCTGCTTGTTTCTAGAGAGGCATCTACTCATGATGATTTCTGTGAAGGGTGAATTTAAATAAAACTTGATCATCTTTAACTCGCTTCTA